TTTGGGACGTGACCGCAGGCAGGATCAGGTAGGTGTTCAAGGCTATCATCAGCTGCACAGGAAGTTAAAGGCTAGCCTGGGCTACATGAAACTCTATTTCAAAAAAAAAGAAAGAAAGAAAGAAAGAAAGAAAGAAAGAAAGAAAGAAAGAAAGAGAAAAAAAACTAAGGAAGTGGGCTGGAGGTATAGATTAGTGGTAGAACATATATGTAGCATGTGCAAGGTCATAGATTCAACTCTTATCACTCCTTTCCCCGAGGGAAGCAAAACACCCATTGGAACTATAGATTGTGGGTCAACGAATGAGGCTAATGGGAGCCATTCAGATGACCAGCTGGTGGAAAGTGCTGAGGCCTCTAAGCATGCTTTCATCTATTTTGTTTCTAAATTCTAATTACACTTATTTATCTGTATGTATGTGTGTGGCTGAGCATGTGCCACTGCCCATGTGTGAGGTCAGAGGACAACTTTTGAGAGTTAGCCCTTTCCTTCCACCACGGGGATGCCAGGGCTCAAACCCAGGTCCTCGACGGTGGCCGCCAGTGACCTTCTCGGCCGAACCATCTCATCACCCCGCCATCCTCACCCATGTGTTTGCAGCTAGAAAATCCTTCCACAGGAAAACAATTGCAGACAGTTGAGACGACGGCCAAGTCTGCGTGCCGAAAAAGGGCAGAGAGATCCTGCTTCCGATTAATACCTGCAAAGAAACAGGAAATTAAGTTTTCGAGAGAAGCCGGAAATACCCCTGCAGCCGAAACCAGTCAACAGGCAAGAAAGAATGAAGACGGTCTTAGAAACCAGGCCTCAGTGCTGTCCTCACGAAATCCTCTTTGGAAGCTGCCTGTCACTGGACCAAAACCAATGCCCTTGCAAGAACTTATGTAAGTTCTCTCAGTAACTTTGTGTTGCTGACTTTTCCTGAATGAGCTTTAAGATGTACTGTGACACAGGTTGTTTGATCAGCATTCAGCTTAGGAGAGGGCCAGTCACCCTGATGCGAGGAGTCAGTTTTGAAAATAGCTGGGAACATCTCTTGAGGGGCAATGAAGCTAAACTAATTCGAGGCGGCAGATGCATTCGCATTCGGCCGCGCCTGGCCCGCGGCAGGGGCAGTTCTTACGTAAGCTGATTAGGATGAGCAGCTTGGTGGACTGTTCAGAGCTCTGCTGAGCCCACGCCCTGCATTTGCCCTCTCTGGGTTAGCCGAGGCACACCAAGGGCAGTGGACTAGAGGGAGAACAGAATAATGCATCAATAGAGAGCATGCTTCTTGAAAAGGAGAGAAAAATCCCACTTGGTATAACAAGCGGGTTTTCTCCTAAGAAGCAAAACATAGGCTTTCTTCTTTTCTCTGAAAGACTCATTTATTTCTAGTTTATGTGTATTGGTGTTTTGTCTGCATGCATGACTGTTTGAGGGGGCCAGATTCCCTAGAACTGGAGTTACAGACTGTTGGGAGCTGCCATGTGAGTGCTGGGAATTGAACCCAGGTCCTCTGGAAGAGCAGCCCATTCACATAGCCACTGAGCCACCTCTCCAGCCCCAGACTTACTTCTTTAGGCAAATATTTGTATTTGGGATTTTTTTTAGTTGAGTACCTCTATAATCTGAGGGGTACATACCATGGTGTTGGGGAGGGGTGCATGTGTGGAGATCAGAAGACAACTTGATGGCGTCAGTGATCGAATCTTTCAGCTAACCTAGAGGGGCTTCAGGTTGTGAAATGTCTCTTACAAGCTCCTGTTTGTACACTCGGTCTCTGGTGGGTGGTGCTGTAGGAGGCTGTGTAGCCTCTCTGGAGGAAGTGGGTCTCTGGGAAAGTGCCTCAGTGGACCTACATTTAATTACTGCCTTCTGTACAGTGCTGGGGATTGAATGCAACCATCCCTAGCCGAATTCTCATTCTCCTGTTTCATACGTAGGTTTCATTTTGTAGGTTTGACCTTCACATCTGGTATTAGCTACAGGCTGGGCCCAAGACAGAGTGGTTGAAGGCAATGGGGGAAGTATGAACACAAGGTTTACTGCAAGTTTCCAGTTGGTAAGGCTTCGCGTAGGGCACATGAAGTTTTATTTCACTATTCCCCTTTTGTCTGAGGTTTTTCTATAATAGAGTATTGAAAAGAGAATTCTGCCTTTAAGGTTTGCTTTCTAAGACAAGAGAACTTCTTGTTATGAATAGGACCTGGTGATGTGTCCTGCCACAATGAGGAAGACTTGCTGTGGCCAAAGTAGTGGCTGGCCTGGAACTCAAAGAGATTCTGCAGCCTCTGCCTCCCAAGTGCTGAGATTAAAGTCTTGTGCCACCGTGCCTGGCTTGCCAAACATTCATATGTGTGTGTGTATGTATATGTATATAATTTATTTATTATTTATTTTTGTTCTTTCAAGATAGGATTTCTTTTTGTACCCTAGGCTGTCCTAGAACTCACTCTGTAGACCAGGCTGGTCTCAGACTCATAGAGATCCACCTGCCTCTGCCTCCCAGATGCTGGGACTAAAGGCATGCACCACCACCACCACCTGGCTTTATATTTTATGGTTTTTATGCATGTATGTATATGTGTATCTGTCTGCACGTGAGTGGGGACAGAGGGACATCAGATCCCCTGACACTGGAGTTACAGGCAGCTGTGAAATACCAGATGTGGGTGCTGGGGATAGAACTCAGGTCCTCTGCAAGAACAATATGTGCTCTTCACCCCTGAAGCATCTCTCCAGCCTCAGTTGCCAAACATTCTTGATTGGAAGCTTGATGATAAACATCCCAGCTCCTGATGACCGAGTCACAGAAACCAGCCCTGGACACCAAGTTGTGTGACAATGGCCTCCGTCCCTGGATCATTGTCAGTTAGTCTCGCCTTTGCAATAGAAACTATCCCAACTAAAATAGTACAAAGATCTGGGCAGTGGTAGCGCACACCTTTAGTCCCAGCATTCTGGAGATGGAGGCAGGAGGATCTCTAAGTTCAAGGCCAGCCTGGTGTAGTTCCAGGACAGCCGAGATTACACAGAGAAACCCTGTCTCAAAAACAATAATGACAAAAATAAATTAATTATAAAATAAAACACTGACTTCTGTGTACTGCTTCTGTGTGTATGTATGTGTGAGTGAACGAAGGAGTGTTTCTCTGTATGTGTGTAGACCAAGGAGTGTGTCCCTGAGTGTGGGTGCACTCAGGAGGGTATCCCCGAGTGTGAGTGCACTAGGAAGTATATCCCTGAGTGCACTCAGGAGGGTATCCCTGAGTGTGAATGCACTAAGGAGTGCATCCCTGAGTGTGAGTTCTCTCAAGAGTGTATCCCTGAGTGTGACAGCACTAAGGAGTGTATGCCTGGGTGTGAGTGCACTCAGGAGGGTATCCTTGAGTGTAAGTTCACTCAAGAGTGGATCCCTGAGTGTGAGTGCACTAAGGAGTGTGTCCCTGAGTGTGAGTGCACTAAGAGGCACTTCTGTTTCATCTCAGAGGACTGGTGAGTGTTAAATTTATGTATCTCCTGAAGGATTGATACTGAGACAAATTAGAAGCAAATACAAGGTGACATTCTGTCCACAGAGTCGTGATTAAACCCTGCAGTTTCTGTGTCTCTACCTCTCAAATCCCATGGTCATTAACTGCTCAGTCTATCGATTTCATCCATCTAGTCCTTCCTAATCTAGACACGCCCACTGCCAATCACCGGAGCACTGTCCCTGGGAGAATGTTCTCTGGAGAAGGCGAGACGGAAGCAGGATATAGTCTCTCCCAGGGACCAGCATCAGTTCTGAGCCACTAGAACCCTGGAGCACTGACTTCAGCTGGCCCCACCTTCCATGCTGCTCTGAGGTCAGTCATGGTTATAAGCTGCCTGGAGTGAGGGCCAGGCAGGATGGGGGCTGGGGAGGGACGTGAACAGTCACAGCAGCTGGGAGCAAATGCTCCCAGTTAAGGGGATCAAACCAGAATGTCATCAGCGGCCACATGCCCCAAATCTTGCATAACTCCCTGTTATCTAGGCCATCTCCCCCTACCCAACCCGTCTTCTCTCTTGAAACAAGGTTCTTTTATTGCATTTAGCTAAAGATGACCTCGAACTCATGAACTTCCATCCTCAGTCTCTGAGTGCCAGGATAAAATACACGCAGGCATCACTATGTCTGGCTTCACCCCCTCCCTTTCTTTTCTGAGACCGCTCCAGTTATTCTCCCTCCTTCTGACTCCTCTTCACTCATATGGACCACCTCAAAATTCTGGATCATCCCAGCATGCTTTACTGCAGATCATGTGTGCTTTCCTGTTCCCCCACCTGGCATGACGTCCTCCCCAGAACCATCAGTCTTTATTAAAAGACACCTTTGTAAAAGTCTTGCTCTGATTGGGTGTGGGGGCACACATCTATAAGTTTAGCACTTAGGACACTGAGGCAGGGGGATTAGAAGTTAAAGGCTAGCCTTGGAGCTATATAGTGAGTTTGAGGCAAGGACTGTCTCATAAAATAAAGACTTGTTTTTACTGCCTTATCTAAAGTGACAATTTCACTCCCAACTGACACTTGCAAACTCTACCTAATCCCTATATATAATTTTATTTATCTTATTATCTAGTCCCGCTCTAAGCTATAAACAGCGGCTGGTGGGCCGAAGGCACTCTGAATGTTTGCTGCATGCATTCGTGCACGAATGAGTCCTGGCAGGGTGTGTAAATCCTCAGTAAACACTGCACTGAACCAGAAAAGCCGGGCACCCCCTCCCATCCTCTGCCCCCTTACATAACAGCCAGGGAAAGGGCAGAGCTCTCCAGAGTCCTTCCTGCAGTAATGTTATAAAGCTTGGTTTCTCCATGTGAGGGTGTTTGTGTGGCTGTTAATAGGAAATACAGTGCACATCGTGAATATAGAAACCTTAGGTCTGGTGTGATTGCAGCTCAGGACTGAGCAAGGTTGCCAGCCTGGGTCAAGGTCATCCTTTTCCCAATCACAAGTCCCCCGCCCCCAACAAGAAGAAAGAATAGAAACAGTTAAGATTTTCTAATTTTATTTCAATGAGTTCACATCAAACTCAATAATCCGGGCTTACATATAATAAAGAGAAAGGTAGAGCAAAAATCAAAGTGAATACAGGCTGCATGGATACCTTAATTTCTAAAACGTAAAATGTAAATCCAAAGTTAATACTATTTAAGCTCTTTACACAGCCTGATCTTAGAGGGTAGAAAACTATTAAGACATATGAAATACCAAATCCCAATCAAACATCTATTAGTAAAAGCCAAATTCTTTAAGGTATATTAAATTCTAGAAAGAAGGTCTAAGGTTGCTAAAAATACAAAAGCAACTCTGGAGTTTTGCAGATCAGCCTTGGGGCGAGGCTCCTTCTGCGGTGACCTCGGTGGTTTCTTCTTGTGAATCCTGCTGGGCAGAGGGCTCTGAGCCTAAGGGAGGGCTTTCTTCTAGTTCAGCATCCTCCTGGCAGCTCCGGTTCCCAGCAGTACCCTCACCCTCCTCGCTGGTACCAGCCCCGTCCGCCTGGTCCGCAGCTGCGCTCTCCACCTCTTCCGTGGGTTCAGGAGCCGCGCTCTCCACCTCCGCTGTGGGTTCGGGAGCCGCGCTCTGCACCTCTGCAGAGAATTCAGGAGCCGCACTGTCCACTTCTTCTGTGGTTTCAGGAGCCGCGCTTTCCACCTCCGCTGTGGGTTCAGGAGCCGCGCTCTCCACCTCCGCTGTGGGTTCAGGAGCCGCGCTCTCCACCTCCGCTGTGGGTTCAGGAGCCGCGCTCTCCCCCTCCGCAGTGGGTTCAGGCACTCCCTCGGTGGTCTCCCCCGGAGAAGCCTCGGTGATCTTCAGATCAGTCTCCTCCTCTAGCGCAGCCTCTGAAGAAACCGGGGAGGTCGGAGACCCTTCTGGAGGCCCTGCTGCAGCCTTGGGTACTTCCTCAGCATGCACCAACTCAGTTTCCTTTACAGAAATTTCTCCGGCCCCAGCTTCCGCCACATTCTCCTTTTCACCTTTATGATTTGGTTCATTAAGCAAAGTATTGATTTGAAGAACATGGGAATAAAGTGGAATAATGTAATCAATTTATTTTATTTTAATTTGGGGGAAGGGAATTTTTTTTTTTAAGACAACATTTACTACAGCCTAGGTTAACATGAATCTGCTATGTAGCCTGGGTGACCTCGAACTCCCCATCTTCCTGCGCCAATTTTGCAAGTATTGTGATTACTTTTATTCTCCCGAGCCATCTTGCTGGCTATAATATTCTGTTTCCTAGTACCCTAACAAAAAATTAAAATTGAATGTCTGGCCCTGTGGTGCACACTTGTTAGTTCTGGGACTCCAGAAGTGGAGGCAGGTAAGTTCAACCAGCCTGGCCTACATAGTAGATTCTGTCTCGAAAGAGCCAAACCAAACCAAAACAAGAACCCAAACAACCACAACAAAAAACCTCAAACCAAACCAAAACAACCTTCAGGCCAAAACAAAGAAAGCTCCCAAAGCAAAACCTGACTCCTGAGTTGCTAATATCCTTATTCCTAAACAGTTACCCCAGTAATTGATAATAATTTTGAGTTGAGACAGAAAAAAATTATTCATTTAAAGTAATTAGCTTGGGGCTGAGAGACAATTCGATGTTAGGAGCGGGGCTGCCCTTATAGAGAACCCGGGGTTTGTTGTCCAGCATCTGTTATTCTGCTCTGGGCTCTGGGGGATCCCTCTTCTGACCTCTGGGGCTGGGGCGCAGGTGGGACAGGATGGGACACTGATGATAAGCAGGTATACCACCTGTACTTATTTATCTACATGCAGGCAAGACACACACAAAATTAAATAAATATTTAAAAAGTTAAGTAGTTTAAGGCGAAAAGTGGATGTGGGGGTGCAACTGTGAAGTTTCTGTCCCCCCAGGGGCCATTTTCCAGGCTCAGGGTCTCAGGATGCTCAACTGATTTAACTCATGGGAAGCAAACTTTGAGAAAGACACAGTGGTGGTGCTTGCCAACACTGAAAAAAAAATCAGCTTACAATTGAAAACAATGGTGGGGGAAATGAGAGGTCAAACTGCTGAGACAGATGCTAAAATTATGCTTGCATGAATGGGTGTCTACGGAGTAGAAATAATATTACCACACAGAGGAATGAAAACTGCCTCTCAGCAGAACACACACAGAAAACTCGCTCATTTATCAAATGTCCTCATCCAAAGCTCGAGGTTACCACGGTCTTCTTCCTGATCCAACCCCTACACATAGCTGTTCTAGATAAAGAACTGAAAGAAAGAACCAAGGGTGGGGGTATGTGACTGTCATCCCAGCTCAAGAAGTGGAGGCAGGGGTACCACAGTGTAGGGTCATCCTGCCTGGGGTTCACGAGACCTCCTCTTTAGTAAATAAACAAAATAAGAAATTCCCTTTACCTGGAAGTGGCTGTGACTCTGCTTTTTTTTGTTCTTTCACGTCCCTTACGCGGTCTGTATGTCTGGCTTGCTTTGATGTGACAGCCTTGTAAGTCTGAAAGAAAACGTGTGCTTAGCTCTCTTTCTCCTGCTTTAAGATTCATCATATACATTTCTCTGTGCTACCACCATTAGAAGTTTCAGGAACAATTTCAGTGCAGCACAGAAACCAATGCCTGCCCACCGCCCTCTCTTTGGGGAGACAGGACCTGTCTCCCATAAGGGACCTTTGCTGGTCTGGAACTCAGAGAGCAGACCAGACTGACCTTGCCTGCAGAGTATTGGGATTAAAGGTGTGAACCAGCAAACAGGGCACAGGAATTCTTTAGTAGGTCCTTGAGCACTTACATAATATCCACCAGCACTAACGGTCACACCTACAACCAGGTAATAAATCATATTGGACCCAGACGTTCCAGGGAGTTTTCTGGATGACATTCGGCGAAGGGATGCTAGGAAAACAAATTTGAACATGGTTACCTTCACCACGTGAAAGAACAGGCATTTTAAATAATTACATCTTTTAGGAATTTTCTCCGCAGGGAACTTGGAACCTATTAACATGGTGGATTTTCACTTCAGCAAACACAGCGTTAGAGGCAGGGGTAGTAATTCCACCCAACGGCCTCTAGCCTGATTTGAAGAGCGCTTGAGAAGTCTGCCATCTTGCTGTTAGGCACCAGGAAGGGCTGATGTGGATGAGGGGAAATGACAGAAGAACTAAACAAGCTGACCAGCCAAATGAGATGCAGAAGAAATACACTTCTCCATATGTAGTCAAAGCAGACACCATCAGAATTACTTTTGTTTTGTTCTTTTTTTCAGTTGTCCACTTGAGAAAGAAAGAACTGATTGCTTTAACAGTTAATTAAACACACTTATACCTTAAGATAAAATTTGTATTTAAGGGGCCAGGCAGTGGTGATGCTCACCTTTAATCCCAGCACTCAGGAGGCAGAGGCAGGTGGATATCTGTGAGTTTGAGGCCAGCCTGGCCTTCAAGAGCTAGTTCCAGAACAGCTTAGGACTGTTACACAGAGAAACTTTGTCTCAAAAGAAAGAAAGAAAAATAATGCATTTAAGGATGGGTAGAACACATGTTTAGACCCTAAGCTTTTTGAAGTAAGATCTCACTAGTTAGCCGAGGCCAAACTCTTGGCCATTCTCTTGTCTCAGCCTCCTGAACACTAGGATTACAGCTGCATGGCTGGTTTGCAGTGACACTTTTGTGGGCCTAAAAACATATCTGTGATCTGGATGTACATTTCCTAGACCCAGTCGCTTAGGAGGCTGTAGCAGGAGGGTGTCTGGAACATGCTTTCATTTAGCCCACGTGTGGAGGTCAGAGGACAACTTGTGGGAGCTAATTTTCTCCTCTACTGGGTGGGTCCTGGAGATAAGACTCTGGTCATCAGGGTTGATGATGAGCACCTGTACCTGCTGAGCCAACGCCCTGACCCAAATGTCACAGCTAAAACAAGCAACTTCCCCCCCCCCAAGCCCCACCCCACCTATCTTAGAGCGTGTGTCAAATATGTAGGAGGCCTGAGTTCCTTCCTCAGCACCAAAAATAAATGAAACCAAAACAAAACAAAAACCTCACAACCTTTTTGACATTTGTGTGTAATTATGTTTCTTATTTGATCTAAGTTTTTTGTTTTGTTTTGTGTTTTAAATACTAGGAGTGAAATCCATTGGTTTCTGTCTGCTGGGTAAGCTATGCCCCATGTACTCCAGAGAGTTCTTATTAAATAGGTAAAAATAAAGAAAATTATTAGTGATGGGATGTGGTGGCCCATGCCTTTAATTCCAGCACTTGGGAGGCAGAGGCAGGCGAATCTCTGAGCTCAAGCCCAGCCTGGTCTACAGAGGGAGTTCCCAGGACAGCCAGGGTTACACAGAGAAACCCTGTCTAGACAAAAACAAAACAAAAAGAAAATTTCAGCAATACAAGTAGACTTAAAAATTATTTCAGCTGGGGCTGGAGAGATGGCTCAGTGGTTAAGAGCATTGCCTCCTTTTCCAAAGGTCTTGAGTTCAATTCCCGGCAACCACATGGTGGCTCACAACCATCTGTAATGAGGTCTGGCCTGCAGACAGACACACACACACACACACAGAATATTGTACACATAATAAATAAATATAAAAAATTATTTCAGCTGAATTATTTAAAATAGCAATAAGAGAACCATCCAATATGAATGAATTAAACATATTTTAGGTTGGGGGTTTAGCTCAGGGCTTGAGTGCTTGTCTAATAAGCATAAGGCCCTGGGTTTAGTCCTCAGCTCTGGACAAAAAAGATAAAATAACATAAAAAGCTTTAAAATTTATTTTAAAAACCTGTATTTTAGTAGTCTCATACAATGTGAAAACTAGGATTTACTTATATAAGAAAAATTTGATTTTTTTAAGATTATTTATTATTTTATGTGTATGAGCGCTTTGCCTGAATGTATATATGCACCATGTGCATGCCTGGTGCCCTTCAAGGTCAGGGTGGGCTTCAGGTTCCCTGGTACTGGAATCACAGACTGTTCGAGTAATCTTGTGGGTACTGAGAATTGAACCCAGATCCTTTGCAAGAGCAAGAAGTTCTCTGAACTGTTGAGCCAACTCTTCAGACTATGAGAAAATTCTACCACACGTTATATGAAAATCTACACAAAAATCTTGTGACACAGATCTCAGGTTAAGAAGAAAGAGACCTGCAGTTATCACATGTGCTGGTGCACACCATAATGCAAGTACTTGGGAGGTTGAGACAGGGGGATTAAGTGCTTCAGACAAGTTTGGGTAGCTAGTCCTGTTTCTATAAAGCAAGAACAACAAAAATCTCTAATACTAAGTAGACTAACCGTAAACAATGATATTTACTAATAGGAAGGTTATATGTGATTTATATATTATATCTTGCCTTTCTGGCATTTTCCCAATGAACTGTTCCAAGCCTAAACTACTCATCGAAAAGTTAGTTATTTTGAAAAGTCAAAAAAACTTACATTTTGCTGCAAAAAGAACAAAATTTAATGATAGTTAAAATGTGTCTTTCAAAAAAGAAACCACTGAAACAAATCTATTACCAAAGTAGAAAGTACCAATAAGACATCAATCAATGCCCGCAAAGGAAGACAAATTTACGATTCCAGTCAATGCTGGACTGGGGTAACACCAGTACTGGAAGGCAGAGGCGGGAGGCAGAGGTGGGAGGATCTCTGAGTTTGGGGCCCCTGGTGAGTTCCAGGACAACCAGGACTACACAGAAAAACCCCGTCTTAAAAAAATGAAAAAAAAACAAACAAACAAAAAGCAGTAATTATGACTGTGGCTGTAGCTTAGTACTCAATGGAAGGAGGCTTGCCTAGAAAAATGATGGCCCTTAGATTCAACCTACGCTGAATGGACGCGATAAAAAGTGAAAGTAATTAGGGGAAATAAGGTCAGTGCCCTTGTGCCTGGGACTTTTAACTGCAGTTTGGAAGGTTAACACTGCCTTTATTTTGATGGGAGGGGTCCTGAGGAGGGGGTAGAGGCATATAACGGTGTGGTGCAGACTAGAGGGTAAAGGTGTCTGCAGTCAAGCTGGAAGACCTAGTTCTGCCCTGGGACCCACTGACTCCTGCAGAAGCTGTCCTCTGAACACATGCAGGCTCTGGCGTGTGTGTGTGTGTGTGTGTGTGTGTGTGTGTGTGTGTGTGTGGTCAGTGGACTCATCTTTCTTCTTCTCTGAAGATCAGAACAGCCTCAGTATCGTCAGCTTAAACTAAACGGCTTCTCCCTACCTCATCGATGGTGAAAATTGCTATCTTAAGAGTTAAACAGTGAGGAGAAGGCATCTTAACACGTGTGGGGGAGACGTCTTTCAAGTAATGTTTAAAAGAACGGGAGGATGGATAGATCTTCCTCTCACCCCCCACCACCCACATAGGCCTAATCAAAGCGGGGGGAAACAAGTGGACAAACCAAACTCAAAACCCCCTGTGGCTCATGGAATTTTCTGCACGCGTTTTCCTGTCTCCCTCGCTTAAATCCTCGCTCTGGATGCTGCCATGGATGCCTCAGGGAGTCGGTGAAGCACAGCAAGAATTAACTTTCCAGCATCCAAGAGCTGGGATTCAGTGAGTGACGGACGAGGGGCGCGGGGCGGGGGTTTGGACCAGGAAAGGCGGCTCGGAGAGGAACTGCAAACCCGTCTAGATCCGGCACCTATTAAGCACCTACTCTGTTTTAGACGGCGTTATGTTACTCGGTGCTTTCCTCTTTAGAAAATTCCCAAGAGCTCTTTCCTCGCGCATTCCCTAATCCAAAGGTGATGGAGCTGTAAGCTTCTCAGCAACGTCGGAAGAATGACCCTAGGCCGAGGCCACCCCCTCCAAAGGGATGCTCAGGGCCGGGAGATTCCGGGGTCAAGACCACCAGTGTTCCCTGAACCGGGACCTTGACTGGAGCCTACTTGCTGGCGTGTGGACAACCCACGTCCACCTATCCATCCGTTTCTTTATCTCTTGGGGAGCCTAGAGGTTCATTGAATAATCGACGTGGGACTCTAAGAGTGAGCCAGACGCTCTTCGAAGTGATTTTCCACTCCACATTTATTGATTACAGCCACTGTGATCCTCACTTAAAAAATAAGAGACATTACTTGCCGGAGATAAGCGCTGGAACCCAGGAAGTCTAATTTGGATTCAGAGGCATACCTAGAAAAACTCCCTATTTCCAAAGTTTCCAAGAACTTCGGAGTGCTTGCCTGAGACCCTCCCTCACTGTTCCTTCACCTCTGGTCCAGGCTTCTGTGACTACGTGCTGGCGGGTTCGGGGCGCTGGTTTCAGCCTGGACCCACGGAGATGTGCGGGGCACTCACCGTCTTTCCCCAGTGGCACAGGTCCGGAGGGCGCCCTCCGGGGCAGCGCCAGAGTCTTAGACACAGCCCTTCGGAGATACATCGCCCGACGCGCAGAGATTCAGCCGGGGAGCAAGCAACCCAGGCTTCGAGGGCGGAGCCTCAGGAGCGCCCCGCCCGGCGGTGGAGTTCCAGATCCCGTGCCTCCCTGGCCCGGGGCACGTGGAAGGGGGTTTGAGTTAGTGGTCTGCACCTTGGTCCGCTTATCCTGCTCTAATAGTGCTGCTTTCCGGCGCCCCTTCCCGGGCAGCCGCTTAAGGGCTGCATCCCAGAAGAGAGATAGGTAACTGAGAAGGGGCTGTTACGTGCCTGACCCGCTCTGTTCCATGGAGAAACTCTCCTCCAGGTCACGCTGGACACCAGATTCAGGATTCATTGTGCAGGCACGGTTTTTCCTCCAGGTGGAGGCCACTTTATCCCACCCACTGCGTTAGCTTTCCTAGGAAAAGGTAGTGGGGAAACTTTACAAGGGGGAATTCTAGGCGAGCCACTGTTTCCAAGACCTTAAATACAGGGTAAAACGCTTACCTAGCATAGGATCAATACCCAGCAGCGCATAAAACCAGGCATGCTGGCGCAAGCAGATAATCCCAACACTCGGGGGGCGAGGGTGGAGGCAGGAGGATCAGGAGTTCAAAATCTTTGGCAACATAGCAAGTTTAAGGACACCATAGGCTATATGAGACCCTGTCTCAAAAAAAAAAAAAAAAATCACTAAGAGCATTGGGGTGGGAGGGAGAGGGAGGAACAAAACTTAATAACAGGACAAGTAGGTAAAGGCACTTTGGAGTAGCAAGCGCTTTTCAACACCAAGCCATCCCTCCAGCCAGAGTTATGAATCTTGCTTTATCGAGGCAGGGTTTCTCTGGGTAGCTCTGGCTGTCCTGGAACTCCTGTACACCAGGCCGGCCTCAAGCTCGCCTCTGCCTGGAATGGAAGGTGTGAGCCACCGCCGCTGGGTCAGAACTGTAAATCTTGCAGGACTGAGTAACGCAGCTGAGGAGAGTTCTGAGGCTCACTGGATGTGAAACGTTCTGAGTCAGATGGAAGAGGCAGCGCTGGCCTCAAACTCACGATTTCTCTGCACCCGTTCAGTCTGGCATACAATTTTGGGTGTATCTGCCAAGTATGGCCGTCCCAATTGGAAGAGACAGTACTGGGACATCGTACACCTCCTCTAGATGCTGTTCCTACAGGCTCGGGTCTCGGAGCAAAGGAATTTTCTACTCGTGTGGGCTTTGGTGGGTTCCTTTTATATTTTAGTGAGCTATTTTCAGAAATACACAAAATAAAACAAAAACCCAAAAAACCCATGCCCTTTGGTTGTCAGATTTGCCTGCTTCCCAGCTGCTTCGGCAGAACCCCAGACATTTTCACATTAGCTCTTGCTGTGGCTGACCAGACTCAGACATTCCCCTGCAGCTCAGATTCTTCACCGCCCTTGAGAAAAATCCTTGACATTTTTAAAACGTCTAGGGTCGGAGATATATTGGCTTAGCTCAGATGACCTCCACTGAAACTCTGGTTGTTGACAAAGATACCAACTTTGAGAACATTGGAAGGGTCCAGCGCTAACAATAATTATGATTTCATGGCTTATGTGCTGGGTAACTTTTAAAGTATTTTGGTTCCCTGTATGATGGTGCACACCTTTAATTCCAACACTTGAGGGGGAGAGCATTATCCCACGAGTTCAAGGCCAGCCTGGTCTACACGCTACACACACTTATGGAGACTCTGTTTCAAAAAGGAAAAAAAAAAGCATTTGAAGAAATGACAGCCAGGCAGATGTGAGTCTTCAGCTGGCAAGCCTGATGCCCTGAGCTGGCTCCCTGGACTAGCATGGTGGAAGGGAAAGAACTGACTCTCGGAGGCTGTCTTCTGATCTCTGCGTGCACACCTATGGCATGTGCACCCGAACACATACCCACACCTAAAGAAATATACCTAAAAAAAAGAAAGAATCTTTTCCCAAACTCTACGGAATGCTAGAAACAAGAGATGGCTTAGTGGATAAGAGCTTGTTGCTCTTACAGAGGACTAGAGGTTTGTTCCCAGATGGTTTACAACCTCTTACATTCTGAACACACATACACACAAACATTTAAAAAAAAGTTAGGAAAATTTGAAAAGATTTTTGGGAGGAGGAAAAGAATTTTTTATTTTGTTTTGTTTCTCAAGACAAACCTTCTCTGTTTAGCCCTCGCTGTCCTGAAACTTACTTTGTAGACCAGGCTGGACCCAAACTCACAGAGATTTGCCACCCGCACCCCCCCCCCCAAGTGCTGGGATTAAAGGCATGTACCACCACCACTGCCTGCCTTATTTATTTATTTATTAGGCATGTACCACCACCACTGCCTGCCTTTTTTATTTATTGATTGATTGATTGAGACCAGATGTCTGAAACCACAGTGTGGGCCGAGCCATGCCCTACATTTTCTAGTTTTGGTTGTCGTCCATTAACCTTCGGCTTGTAGATGTCCATGATTATCACAGGAGGATCTGTGAGTGCAAGGCCAGCCTGGTCTACAGAGGAGCTCTAGGCCAGCCTGGTCTACAGAGGAGCTCCAGGCCAGCCTGGTCTACAGAGGAGCTCCAGGCCAGCCAAGAATTAGAGCTGCACATTAAGATTCTGCCTCAAAAACAAACAAGCCAAATTAAAAAAATCCTTTGCTCTAAATTCCTTTGGGAATTTAGAACCAGAATGATTCTTGTGCAGCCCAGCTCTTGGTTTGAGTGCAAACCCTGGCACTATTTGCTTCTCCTTACCACGTGGGTGGGGTGGCGGTAGCGCTGAGGAATGATGCAGACACATAGTTAGCACAGCTAAAACCAAGGGTTTTTTTCTTCCTGAGGCTGGGTCTCACTGGCTTCAAGTTTACAATTCTCTTGCATCTGTCTGCTGAGAACTGGCCTTACAGAATGCTCCCATTATGGTATGTTCTTCCCTTCATCCACAGGCCAGGTTATCAGGAAGGGCTCCCCCTAGAGTTAAAATGGATACACTCAAGAGAAAGGCTCAAACAAACTGCAGTCTCAAAGCCTGACATGCGCAGATTCTATTTACTAAAAGTTTCTAAAATTGCAGATGTTTTGGTGTTTTCTGGACTTTGTGGAGATATGAGTTGTTACAGCGCTATTACTTTGGACTTAACTGACTTTTTGGCCTCTCATGGTTAGCACTAGTTTCCTGCAGGTGTGCAACCCGGAACACGATGCATTCATTAACTGGAGGCTTGTGGGTGTGTCTCACTCGGCTTACATTCAACAAGGGCCTTCACTTTTTTCTTGCTCTTCCTTAGCTCTTATCCTTCTCCTACCTTCAAACCCAGAAGTGGTGGGGATGGAGCTAACAGGGTGCTTGTGTGGCAGGTGCAAGGTCCTAGATTCTCCGCTCATACACTATAGCAGACAGCCCAACAGCAGGTTGGTGTCATATAGCCACGTGTAAAGACCCTTGTAATGACTCTGGGCCCAGCTGGATACTTCAGGGCAATTTTATCAGGGTTGACCTATTGGCAACCCTAATCCCACCTGCGACTTTTTCACTCCCTTTGCCATTGGGTCTAACAGTTAGATGTGTCCTCGCGAAGTTGTGACTTTGTTGGACTTCCTGATAAGTGTCCTTTTCTGTTCTTGCATTTGCATGAAATTGATCTACAGTCTCCCGAGTTTTCCCACTCTAACAGGAATCCAAACCGACACAAGCTAAGTTACTACTATATCTGACTTTTCATGGCATTAGCATACTATCAAATACTTTGAATTTTTGTCCAGAAGTGACATCAAAAGACACTAGGTCATGCTTTTTTTCCAGGCCCCAAACACATGCCATATCAATTATAATGGACTTCAAAGCAGAAATCGTTTTAGACCACATATATCGAACTCTTTCCTTTTTAACATTTTCATGATACTCGTGATTAAACCCAGGGCTTCAAGAATGCCAGGCAAGGGTTTCACTAGTGGGCCATCTCCAGCCTTTTGAGGCAGGACCTTGGTAAGTAGTCCTGGCTGGTTTCATGGCCACCATGTAGCGCCCCCACCTTTACTCTGTTTTAGTTTATTGCTACTATGCGTGTTTGGTCAGTGGATAATCTTGTCAACTCTCTTCTACCTTTCAAGGATTCCTATCCTATTCAGGTGGTCAGGACAGCAAGTTCTTTCCCCACTGAGAATCTTGCCAGCTTGGTCCTCTTCTTTAAAAACCTATAGCTAGCTGGGCGGTGGTGGCGCATGCCTTTAATCCTGCATTGGGGAGACAGAGGCAGGTGGATCTCTGTGAGTTCGAAGACAGGCTGGTCTACAAAGGGAGTTTCAGTACAGCCTCCAAAGCTACACAGAGAAACCCCATTTCAAAAAACAAACAAACAAAACGCTAGCTTGTTGTAACTTGACTGAAAGCCAACGGGAAAACTTCATATGGCCATAAAAGGGAGTAGAAAGTCACTCTGGGGCTAGATGGCTTGGCATTTAGGAGCACTGGCTGCTCTTGTAGAGGCCTAGGGGTTGGTTCTCAGTGCCCACATGGAGGCTCCCTCTTCTGACCTTCCAGGGCATAAGACTGCATATGGTCTGCACACACAGGCAGGCAAACACTCCTCATTCACATCAAAACAAACAAACACCCAGTCATGCCAATAAAAACATTCACATTCAAGTAAATGGAGACAGAGGCAACTGTCAGAACCAGTTTATCTTTACTTTCTGACTTATACCTCTTCATTAATAAAATATTACTTGGACTCTTTGGCATCTAAGTATTTTGGTAAAAAAGTTGAGGGCTGGCCAACGTCTCAAAAAAAAAATGATGGTGCACACCTTTAATTCCAGCACTTGGGAGGCAGAGGCAGGCAGATCTCTGTGAGTTTGAGGCCAACCTGGTCTACAGAGTGAGTTCCAGGTCAGCCAGAACTCTGTCTGAAACCTTATCTCAAAAAACAAAAACAAAACAAAACAAAACAAAAAAGGAAGGGAAATAGGAAGGGAAGGAAGGAGGTAGAGGGGGAAGGAGGAAGGGAGGGAAGGAAGACGGGAGGCAGGAAGGAAGGTGACAGAGAGGCTCAGCAGTTAGAAGCACTTGGCGCTTTTGCAGAGGACCCAGGTTTGGTTCCCAAGGCCTTTGTCAAGCACCACAGCTCAGCTCAGCTTAGGCTTCTATGAGCACTGCATGTTACGGTACACACATATATACAAGCACTCATACAAGCAAATAAAAAGTTAAAAGCTGAAGCGTCCATCAGCACTCATTAGTGAATCCATCTCTACACATGAAGAACATAAGTACTTTTATTTAATAAAGTAAAATCCACGTTAACTTGACCGATACATATTTACATATACTTTCCCCTCATATCCACAACTCAACAGATGGATGAATCCAGAGGAATGGACTCCATCACATGAAGTAGACCTACAAGGAAAAGAAAAAAAAAAAAATCAATCCAAGGCACTGATCAGATAATGTTAAAACCAGACTTCTCTGACTAATTCACCTTAGAGCACCAGAAAAAAAATCTAGGAAATATATGTATTAAATAGAATCAGTACTTGATTTTAAATTTGTATCAATAATACCGAAATGGACAAAGTAGTATTAATAGAGAAAAAGAGGCAAAAGATTTAGATGATAAACCCTAAAGTGTTAATTTGAGAATTCTTTTTTTTTTAATTTATTTATTATGTATACAATGTTCTGTTCGCGTGAATGCCTGAAGGCCAGAAGAGGGCACCAGACCTCATTCCAGATGGTTGTGAGCCACCATGTGGTTGCTGGGAATTGAACTCAGGACCTTTGGAAGAGCAGGCAATACTCTTAACCGCTGAGCCATCTCTCCAGCCCCCTAATTTGAGAATTCTTAAAGAAAATGTATTTTGTGATTACTATGTTTATAGTATGCTTATTACCTACTAGATTTAATCCATGGGCACTGAGATATGCGTGTGTGGTGTGCATGCATGTCTGCATGTGTGCACGTGAAGGCCCACTGATGCCGGGAGTCTTAGTCACTGAAGTAGGGTTTCTCAGCTGACCCCAGAGCACACCAGTGGTAAATTAGCCTTCTTATTCTGGGGATCCTCTGCTCACCTTCAGAGTTCTGGAATCACAAGTGATTGCCAAATCATCCTCACATGGGCTCTAGGGTTCTGAGCTCTGTGCTCATGCTGGTGTGGCAGCTGTTTTAACCCCTGGGCTATCTCCTCAGCCCAGAAGCGAAGGCTTTTTAAATGAGGGATTTTTCACTTCATAAAGAGTAAAGGATTTTTTCAAATAATTTTCAGGAATAAAGTATATACATTACATGTTTGTATAATACACATAGCATATGCACGTTATGTGTGTGATACATGTGCACATACACAGTCTCACAAACGTATCTTTTATCTCATTAATATTAGGTTTTACCTGAATTCTTCAATTGGATGCTAGCTATAGTGACAATCAAAATGAAACGGTTAAGCAGAAAAATGCAGAATCCATTGCCTTTACACATTCATTCGTTCTACGAACATTAAACTCATAGAATGGCTGGGTGCTCAGTGCAATGCAGTGTTGAGAACATAAGCATTAATAAATAGGTAGGAACTCTGCTCTTACAGAATCCACACACAGATTATGCCAACTGTCCTAAGCGCTATGAACACAATGGGTGAAGTACTAGTGAAGAAGACATGATTTTAAGGTGATTTTGGTTTTATTGTTGCTTGTCCTTACTTTCTTTGTTTGGGACTGGGTCTTGCTGTGCAGACCAGGCTAGCCTCAGACTAATTATTTCCTTGTTACAGACTCTGCAGTATTGGCATTATAGGTACTGACTTTATCCAGTACTGGGGTTATTCTGCAGGTCTGGAGTCCTGACATACTCCTAAAATCACAGCACTTAGGAGGTAGAGGCAGGTGGATCCTCGTCTACATAGAGAGCTAAAAGATATATAATAAGACCCTGCCTCTCTCTTTTTTTGAGACAAGGTCTCTCTGCTTAGCCCTGGCTA